GTGTGTGTGTGTGTGTGTGTGTAATATTTAAAAAGCTCCACAACACAGCTGCCTGGGAGTCTTGCTGCCTGGCACTCAGGGACTGGAGTCTAACACAGGTAAGTGATCAACAATGAAACCCATCCCCATTGCATTGAGAGGAAATTGTTTCTATTGGGGGAAGGACAGGCTGGGGTCCAGGAACTGGTTCAGAGCGAAGGGGAATTTAGATAGGGATTCCCCTCACAAAATGGGGTGGGGGAAACACATGCTCCTCTCACCCCCAGCCTGGGAAAAAGCCATTAGCTGCAGCTTGGGGTATAAGTGCCAGTGCTGGGGACTGGGAAGGCGCATCTAAGGGGAAACACTAATGACGTGGTTCTAATCTGGGCCTAACGATGGAGCGCTCAGCCATTGGGCTGGGGGGGGGGGGTGCATTTTGGAAACACTGGGTTGGAGCAGGCTGGGGGAGTGAGGGGGGCAGGCTGTTTCCCAGTGATTTCCGTGGGCCAAAGAACACGTCTTTACGGCTGTTCATCTGGATGGAGATTGCTCTCTGCTACCGGGTTCCTGAACACCCTCCCTGATCTTCAGCTCTGCCCATCTTCCTCCTACAGCAGGAGGCAGTCAAGGCAAGTCTGTGAAGCTGCCTGACTACAAGCCGAAGGCAGCACCTGACATCCAGCCCTCCTCCTCCTGGGAGCTATGATCATCCGCCTCAGGCACTTAACCCCGGGGTACTTCCGCTTGCTCCAGGTAACACCCACCTCCCATTCAGTAGGGCTGTTGGTTTGCTTGGATGCTCCAGCCAGTCCATGAGCCTTTATCGATGCCTCTGTTCCCCCTCTTCCTCACTGATCTTCCTGGGATGCAGTTCCAGGGCCTGAACCCTCTCTTGTCCAGTGACCAGAGCAATCCCGGGGCCTGGGGCGCTTTGGATTGGAGCTCTGATAGGGTTGATCCCTTTGCTTCTCTCCTCCTGCCTGTCTTGGTGTTTTAGACACGAAGCCAAGAGTTAGTTCTCATCGAGTGCACCAGTCCTCCCTGGCCTGTCCAGGATCAGTATCTGGCATCCCCGGAGCCTCTTCTGGGGGAGAGGGAGGGCAGTCGATTGCCACACAGCAGTTAGGAGAGGGGAAATTTTAATCAAGAATGTTGGAGCAACTCCCCGCTCTTCTGAACAGAGCCTGGGGCATGTTCATGTCCACACGGAATAGCCAGGACTTGACGGGCCCACACCCACTAAACTGCCTCCAACTCCTCTGAGTGAGGAGTTGAGCCTGCTGTGATTTGTGCCTGTGGGTCTGGGGCACATCTCAGCCCTGCTGTTTAGGCTGCTAAACCACCCCCGGCCCCCAGCTTATAGCTCTGTGAACAACAGTACTTACAGGTACGGGGCTCGCAGCTTTGCCTCAATCACCCAGACTCAGTGACAATCGCTGCCCAGCTCCGGCAGATCGAAATGTGAGATGCTAATACCTCCCCCGACCCTGCCCCATCAGTTCATCCTGAGCCAGGTCTGGCAACAGCCTGTCCACGCTGGCTCCATGTGTGCCAGGCACGCTCTGTGCCGCCTGAGCAGTGATGCCCTACATAGGGCACTTTGCGTAGACACCGGGGAGCGGAGAGCGAATGTCCCTGCACCACTGATCATGCAGCATCACACAGGAGAGGGAATTGCTCTCTGCTGTCCATACCAGTGGCTGGGATAAGGCCAGTTTGCCGATTCCTCCTTCAGTCCGTCCCAAGCACGCAGCCGAATGCAGCCAGGCGGCCACCGTCACTGTCTTGCCCTGGTGAGTCGCTGCTCCAGCAAGAGAAGACAACTCAGAGCAGCTCAAGAAGTGTGGGCTAGTGGTTAGAGCAGGGGACTGGGAGTCAGCATTCCCGGGCTCCATCCCCCACAGGGGCATCATCAGCGGCGCTGAGCTCTAACTGCACCTGCTGTCCGGGGGTATATTGTGTATGATGGCAAGTTCTGCCTTGGGAGGCTGTGAGCATGCGTGGGGAGGGAAGTGGCAATCACCCACCAGGTGTATGCAGGTTTCAGATCACTAGCTTCAGGCTAGGAGCGCCGCTGCTTTGCTCACAGGGGCGTTTGCCTAAATGGCTCCATGTAAGGAGCGGTGCTGAGCATTTCAGCTGGTAAAGTGCAGGGTGACGCCTGCCCCACAGGGCATTATTATGGCTTCTCTGCCAGTACCTGCAGAGCAGCTGGTTATCGTTCCCGTCATCCCCCCTTTGAAAGGGACAGAACCACTCCCGTGAAAACTGTTATAGACTTTGTCTGTCTGTTCTCCTCCCCCTTGCCACTGACGACACTGCACCACAGAAAGTGTCTCTTTTGGAAAAGCTGGTTGTCAAAATGGGCAGGTTGCGTTTCAGACCCAGACTCTGTTCTCGGGGCCACAGGGGCCTGGATTCCCCATCCCAAATGAGAACACAGCTGAGAAACAGACCCTCCCACTAGAGCATAAGAGAAACCCTGATCAGCGGTTAATCTGAGGCACAGTCACTAATGAGGGCTGAGAGAATGGTTCTGCACAGAAGGGCAGCGATGCCTAGATATGTTCAGCAACAGGGTTCACTCCGCTAGAGCACAGAGTTGAAGAATTTACAGCCAGCCTCTTGGTCAGAAGTGACAGCACCGGCCGCTCGCACACTAAATCCAGTCATTCAGGGAGCCAGGCATGGAGAATGCTTTCTAAGATTTCCTGGGGTGGCTTTGAATGGACATAACTGGGTATCAGCCAGGAGTCAGCTGGTGTTCCCTGCTGTCTGCATCCCAGGAAAGGTGTCCCCTGGGGCAGGCCCCTAGCTAAAGGAAAGCATGCACTGCAGATAGAAATGGCTCCAGTTCTAATTGGTGCAGATCACTGAATAGACTCCTGCCATCCACAAGGAATATGGGGTTACTTCAAGTTCACAACCCACAAGGGTTGATGGGAGACCGGCTTCCCTTGTCCTTCAAGCATTGAGACGATCAAGTTCCTCTCCCCTCAGTCTGCCTCGCCTGTTCTAAAAAGCTGCCTTTTCTCCTCTCATAGATGCAGCTGGCCGGGGGGCTGGAGTCCGAACCTAAAGACCGTCTGGTGAATCACTTGGCTCTAGTCCTGGCTATCATGGGGCTAAGTCTGTCCTACTACAGCGTCCGCCAAATGACCGAGCCGGTTAAAACCCCACCAGAACAGTGAGGCTCATCCATGTGGATGGAGTGCTCTAGATCTAAGGAGATTCCAGCAGCTCTGAGGTGGTGGTGGGGACTAGGTCTTGGGTCTGGCATTCACTCTGTGACATCATGCTCCAGTCCTGCTCTCATACTAGGGTCAGCTACATCCTCCTCCCTCGGTCTGTAGTGGAAGGTTAGTCGCAGGCTTCCCTCGCACTGCTCTCCTGGACCCAGGCTAAAAGAGTAGCTAGAAGCATCTCCCGACTTGCTTTGTGCTGGCTTGAAAGGGATCGCTCGGTACATGCTCTCCGGGCCATCCTACTTTTCCTAGCCTCTCCCTGTTGTTGCTGTCCAGGGTCCTTGAGTAAGTGAAGCAAACACACCTGTCACACCCCTTCCAGAGTTTCTCATGGAGTTACACCAGTTTGGGCCAATGGATTTCATTGCGAAGTCCTACCCCATCCACTGACCACCCCAGCACCTGTCCATGCTCTGTCCTTCCACTACATGCAACTAAGCTACTAAATGAAAGGCTAGACCATCTCCCTGAAGCTCTACCAGAGCTCATGACAGAAGGCTGGGGAACCTACTTCCATATGGGAGGCCGGATTCTAAGCTTCAGTGGGAGACCTCCCACTTTATACAGAAGTGAGATCCGACTCGGACCCTGTGGGAGACAGAAGACAAGACTCATTCCCACAGGTTGGACAGATATATATAAAGTACGATCTGCAGGAACTGAGGCTGAAAGGGTAGAAGGCATCCTCCCAGGCCAGGGGTAGAATCCACCTTGGCAGCTTACCAGTCACCCTGGCTTATGAGACTTCCAGCAAGAGGTTTCCAGACAGCAACTTCCACCTCACTGGCTGCACTTGTGTGTCCCTCTCTAAACCAGTGCGATGGGGTATGACAGGCGGAATGCGCTGCATTGACAGCAAGAGAGAATTTTACACATGGTTGACTGAACCCTTTTATCATCTCCTCCCCCCGCCCAGCTCAGCCAGGAGCAGTGCATCATAGGATAGCAAAACAAGCTGGAACAAGGTCATTGCCGATTGCTGTTATATAACAGCGCACACAATGAGATGGCTGGGACCTAAATCATGCTGTTAAACTACAGATTAGAAAGGGGGATTTTCAAGAAGTCCAGACTGGCCGACATGGACGACTTAATTGCAGCAATTGCGTGAGGACACTTTCATGGAGCAATTAGTACATGTCTCTTCCCCCCCGCACCAGGGACAGGTACACTTCACCTTCTCAGACAGCATCAGGCTAATCTTCACACCCATCACCTCTCTGAAAACTTCTACCGCTGTGGCCCGCCTGCTAGGTTTAAGCTGCTAACAGGGAAGTCTAGATGTTAATACAAGACATTTCTAAATTTTGATCATCTATCTCACCCTCCCTTATACCTGGGGAGGGGAGAACTGAGGAAATAATTTGGTGTATGTTAAATAAATCCCTTTATATTAAGTGACCTGCCTTGTCTCATCCTTTTGCCACCCCACCTCCATGTGGCCAGTAGAGTATACACGGTCAGGTGATAAAAACGTTACAAAGACCTGGGGTGGGTTCCCCACCCTTGGGGGGGGGGAGAGGGGAGAACTGAAGATGTTTAATCTCCACTGACACACTGCGGTGGCCGGCATTAGTTGAACTTGCTTTGCAGGGACTTACAGCAGACAGTGGCATTCCCCACATTCCACCCTGCAGATCAAGCGATTATCCTAACACAGGCTATGTGTTTTCTAGAAAGCGCCTCCCTGTTTGAGGGGCTCAGTAAAAATCCAATTCAGATGCTCAAGCCAAGTACCCAGCTATGCTGTGGCAGCATATGGGCATGTGCCAGCCAGTATTATCCGACATCTGGTGGAACAGGGCTGAATTTGTTAGTCCCCTACTTGTAAAGTGGGTCAGCGCGGACTCTGCCTACCCTCTCTATGAGCAGTGTGTCCCTCCTCTTAGGCAACTGATCTCACCCAAAACAGCTCCCTGGCTGGAAGGCGATCTCCCACAATCAAATGACTCTCAGTGGGTTTTAAACAGTTTCATATGCAATTTGTATCCATCCCTAGCAATGTGATGAGGTTAGGCTCAGCTGGGTTGGGGCAGTCTTTCAGCGCACTCCTCTTGATAGAAGAGAAGGGAAGGAGCTTAGTAAGTCATCCTCCCATATCAGGGAAGAGTTAACTAGACGCACGAAGAGGGCAGAAAGGAAATTGTTTGAGATGTTAGAACATCTGCCAAAGGAAATATATTAAGAATAAATATAGTGGGAATTTAGCAGTGACCAAGCTGCAAGGCTGCTCAGACCTCTTTTCTAGGCGCCCCACAAACAAGGATAGGCGACTTCAAGCAACTAATTCAAACAGTCATCATGAACGATCAAGCGGGTGGCATTAGCCCCAGTCCAGGTAGCTGGTTGGTGAAAGGGCTGTTTTTGCTAACAATTCAGCTCAGCTCATTTTCCAAACTGAGTCCCTACAACTCAATCTGGATCAAACTGGCAAGGAATGTTCTACAGCTCCTTCAGCAGCGGCCCGCTTGATTGCTACAATAGTTTGATGGGTGATTTCAGAGGTCACACTCTGAGCCAAGAGCTGCATCCACTGCTTAAAATACCAACACAAAGAGAAAAGACTGTGACAATCAGGTCACTATCACAGCAGGACGTTGCTCATCCTTTCCCTGGACCTCTGGCTGCACTGTATGTCCATGTTGCCAATGAAAACATAATGCACAATATCTGCCAAAGCAAGAGGGTCCAAAGGTCTCCACTGGTCAGTGCTCTACTCCTTGCTGAAGAATTAATGAGAACAGCGGAGTTAGCTGTTATGCCTTGTTGCAGGGGGAGTGTTTTTAAAGACACTTGCTGAACTCAGAAAAGACGCTGCCACAAAGTGGGGCTTTAATCAAGGGCACTTTCTAATGGATCAGAGAACAATCTCTGGGCCTCCGTATTCAGCCAGATTCCTCCATCTCAAGCGGTTGAGTCTGTACTTCTATCTTCTTTGGAGGAATGTAGGATCCCATCCCAGCTGCTCTCTCTGCCTCCTCCTGGGTATAAGGCTCCTCACTCAGCTGCTTCAGTCTAAAAGAGAAAGAAGAAACCCAAGCGAGGCACATGGGTTCCAATCTTTAATGTTCCCCCTGTAAGCTGAGCACTTTAAAAAACTATCACAAACCCAAACCAGCGAAAGCCACATTTGACATTGCCAGGACATCCAGACTAAGTCTCAGGTGCTCAAATTTCAGAGTGGGATTGAAGAACAGCAGTGGGAAAGCTATCAATGCTGCACCACCTGTTCTGTGACTAGATGGACACTTTCAGCCACCAGCTGAATTAAACTATCTTTAGAAGACTGAAGGAGCCATGAAGACTGGTGGGGTGGGAAGAAGAGATGGAAAAATAGATTTTTCAAATAACTTTTTGAAGGGAAAAGGGAGTGGGGGGTTTCTTATTCATAAGAACCCCAAATAAATCAGATTTTTTTATACTAAGTCTTCTAAGAAAAATGTGCCCTCATAACAGAATTTACATTACCTTCTTTTGTGAACTTTAGATTTGAAATGTTCCTTCATGCTATTCAAATCTACAAAGTATCGCCTGTCGGGAGAGAAGAAAGGAGTTCAGGCAGTTGAAAACAATAGTGCCCTTTCCATGAAAGGGTCAAGTTAAGAACTAAACAGGGGGCTTTGGAGACTCAGACTGAAGAAGACAGGGTTGAAGGCTCAAGATACCAAAGGTCACTATTGACCAAACATTTTTTCTATCAGAAGGTGGGGAAAGGGGCCTGATGAAGTTAAGTATTTGGTCCCAGGGCCCACTGTGCAAACATGGGGGAAGGCCAGCTGGGGCGCCTCTTCTCAGTTAGCCCGGCTGGGGCGCCTCTTCCCAATTAGCCCGGCTGGGGCGCCTCTTCCCAATTAGCCCGGCTGGGGCGCCTCTTCCCAGTTAGCCCGGCTGGGGCGCCTCTTCCCAGTTAGCCCAGGGGACTGGGCTCTCTGATTTCAGGTCGGGCCCTGGGAACACTCCTCTCACACCCCGCAGGCCGTGGGCAGCCCCTGTGCCTGCTGTGGTGGATGCACTGCAGCTTGGCTCCCATGTCTCTCCCTCCCCCCCGGGACAGGCGCAGCAGGAGGGGAGGATGGACCAGGGGGGTGTCCCTGGAGGGGCCACTGCGACGCCCCCAGTTCACGCGCAATGCCCCCCCGCGCAATGCCTCCCCCCGCGCGCACACTCTCTCACGCACGCGCAGTGCAGGCAGTAGTGCTGCGCGCTCCCGGGC